AGTAGCAGGCGAATAGCAACGTTGCTTTTCCTATCCGTAATTAGCCCCGTACGTGACCAGATAAACACGTCGTAATAGGCCCGTGCACAGGCTCACCGCCACATCTGCTAGTAGCAGGCGATGGTTATGGTTTGATAGGTGGCAGCACTGTCCAGTCACACTGTCTAGGCTGAAATATGCAACAATGCACAGGCATTGTTTCAGTTATCCTTTATTACAATGCACAATACACTTCCTTTAATTTTAATGCTGCCTCCTGCAAAATTACAGACTGGTAGGTCATATAGTTAAGGAGGAGATGCAGATACTTGTTCGAATTATCTCTGTCCTTTGTTCTTACCTACTCCAGCCAGAGATATCTCGTGAAATCATGCGGGAAAATTCCACTTCTAGATTTTGTAAATGGGACGTATCATCCGAAAATCCCTAACGGCGCTACTCGATTGTTTTAACCAATGAACGTAGTCGTCTCTGTGACGTCATGCCCGTGCGCATTATGCTTGGCTTGGCGGGCCTCGAAACGGAGCTCGGAGGCAGGCAGCAGCTCATCCCGGCATGCAATGCGCCGCACTACTCGTGTATAAACGGACATCTCGTCCCATTTACAAAATCTATGAGTAAATTTTTCCCTCATCATTTCATGAGATATCTCTGGATGGAGTAGGTAAGAACAAAGGACAGAGTTGTAATTCGAACAAGTGAACATTTAGCTACACATAGATACCAAGATGGAAGCTGTTTGATGTGTATTTGTTCTGTTGTCGTGTGAAATGAAGCGACCGTCGAGCGAATATTGCGATTACGCTTTCCTACCTGCTCTCTTATTCATGTTGTTTGTGCACAGGGCGTGCGTGCGGTGTACTTGTGTGTTGCAGATGAGCATTTGACCGGCATTTACAGGTGATTATCGGCAATAATAGGCGAAATAGAGTAGAGAAACATTAAGACTTTGGTAGTAAATACATTTCGTGTATATTTACCATTATTTTTTTTATTGTGACGTTCCAAGTGCCTGTGATTGCTTTCAACAAACTTGAACAATGTTAATGTAGGCCTATTGAATTTTCAAAGGATCCCTTCAACATTAAGTTTGACTTCAGCTTCTTCATCTCTGTTATTCCATATTGCAATTCTCTTACTTCCTCGTTGGTTAATTGCAGAATTTACGGAGTGGCTGGAGGTATACGGCAGCCGTCGTTTGTTGAAGCCTCTTTTTGGCGTTTGTTTGAGGGCTGAGGCAATTATTTGCGATCTTCTGATGTAAAGTTTACAATAATGTTCATTTTCATACCGAATCCGAGTGTTTCTAGCTCATCAAAATTCTCAAATTGTGAATTTATCTCCCAAGGCATTATTTCGAAATCTGCCGCCATCCGCTGCCATCTTTGTCTCATTAAGTATGAAAGTGAATGGACTGCCATACCTCCAGCCTCGTAAATTCGAGATACGGCTGCCGTACCTCCAGCCACTGCCCAGAATTTATGCTTTTTCTACTGCGATCTGCAGTGTTGATCTGACTATTTGATAAACTTTGCCTCTCTGAGTTTCTCCGTCTTCGATATAGTCCAATGATATTGCCAATTGATATAGATTAATACAGCTAATTATCATTAGGAAGTAAGGAAGTAATCAACATCAACTTATCCATAAGCCTAACCCATAAGCCACCCTAACACTAACCCTAACCAACCTTAACCGTAACTAATCCTGTTACAAACCCAATCCTAATCCTAACATAAACTGAATCATCTATACCCATCATTAGAACCCAGAGTCCTACAGTAGGCTCAGAACCCAAGGCATGGCAGCATGTTTTCTCGATGTGTAAAAAACCGACTCTCCACGTTAGTGATTGTGAATCCATTGTGGCACGATTAAACCACATAAAATCGAGGGTTCATCTCTAAATTATTAATTGAGACCTAAAAGAATCTCTGGTGACATAAAACACCATGATAGTGTATATCTGTCAGATAAGAAGTCAGTTTGGTGTAATTCTCAAGCACCAATTAGTGAATAAGACAGAAAATCTCCTAACCATACATCTAGTTGAGAGACTATAACCAAAAGCTATAAACTATAGGCCTACTGGTGTAGTTCTAGAAAGTACATTTTAGTCTAGAAGATCTGAAGCCCTAAATTTTTGCATTTAAATTTTTTGTTTTTCAATTATTAACATTAATGCTTTTCACTTGCAGCATCAATACAAGAGTGCATTGTTCTGGGCAGATAAAGTTGTTACTCTTTCTAATGGTAAGTTCTGCAATGTATACATAGGTGTAGCTAGTTGGGGGTGGGGTGGGTCAGTCGCCCCCCCCCCCAAAGAAATGTAGATCTATACATTACATGGTCATCGCCCTTCCCATCTGCTCAGTCTGTTATGTATCCATGTATAGCAACATGCATACATAGCTGTAGCATAACATTTGTATATCATCTGAGTAGAGTTATTAGGTGATACAGAGTACATAATAATTAATATTAAGTAGTTAATATAATTTTTCTTTATTTACTATAATATTATCATTGGAACAATGTAGCACAGTACAACAAACTTGCTATGATCAATGGTTAGTCTTCACTATCAGCAGCATAGAAAATAATTTCTCACGTTAATTAAATAATACTCTCACAAGGGCTTCCTACTTTTCAAGCTCAATTCTGTCTTCACGTATTGAATTTTCACTTGCGCAGGGGAAACACCAGACGTGTATTGGCTCTCACAGTGCCTGTATCTGACAGGGCAGTACCATCGAGCCACACATTGCATCGAGACACGGAAACTACACCAGGTTGTTGATACTATTACAATATATAACTCGGGTGACATGTGTGACACAGACCTGGGACATTTCCATGGGTCGCATATAACTTTTAATTCTGTTGCTGAAGCTTATGCCCAATGGACAGTCAGAAGGATCTATGACTCAACTCAGTGTAAAATTTATGGTATATATTTCATTTTTGTAATATGATAATCCAAGACTCTGCATGGGTTAAAATTTAAATATTATTCTTAGTGCAATATTAATCGTTACTGGATACCTCATTTACTATTATAACATCCTTATACAATTTTATTGTAGTTGCAGTGGCTAGAGGCACGTGTATCAATATGCAGCACATCATTGTCAGCTTTGTTCTGTTTCAGACAAACGCAGCATGCAGGTTCCTAGCCGCTAAGTGCCACGTACGTACGCATTCTTCTGACAGTTCGAATGTAGAAGTTATGCAACTTCATAGTTGAAGTCGCACCGGATATCTAACACCTGTAATAACTCACTTGACCATCATTATTGTTCCGATCAATTCAATTGAGAAGGTGCTTGTATTTCTTCCTAGTATGAAGCAAAAGAATATCACGAGGCTATAGAGATACTGTACTGGCCTGAAAACAACAGCACCAAGACTCCAGAGAAAGGGCTGGATGCGAGTGTAACTACTGCGAATGCATCTACAGACGTTCTTCTTACAAATGTGAGGGAGTTGGCATAGTGAGATTTTATTGAGGGTTCTAGCAAAGCATCGGTTAATAGCTGGTGCGTGAACTGTTACTGCTTAATCAGTAATTATTGCTATTATTGGCAAGCTGCTGTGGTGGTTTGGCTAAGGTATTTGAGATGGTATTGAGGAAACAATCTTACACTCAGGCAACTGACAGGGCTATTATGCTTGCTGGTAGTATGGTATTCATTTAATTCTGTCAACATTTATATTATCGGTTATCTTGATAGATGTTGTATCGCCTCTATTCAGTTTTGTTGTTGTTGTTGATTAAAGCCTGCATTATAATTGCACCTACAATCTGCTATGCGAAAACTGCTGCTGCTGCTGCTTGGCTTAGATTGTAGATTGGCTGTGTAAAGTACTTGCACCGTGTCCTAACACTGTTTATGAGGAGTAAATGCTACATAGCGGCAACGTAACTTCTAGAGATGGACTTGCTGTCGTGCCACTGAATGCTGCTGATGTTGACTTTTAGGTGGAGAGCAACGTTAGTTTATTGAAGGGGAAGATCTACGAGGCGATGGACAACCGTGCGCTTGCAGTTGAGTGCTTCACGGCGGCTCTCAAGCAAGATGTCTACTGCTACGAGGCTTTCGAGTTGCTCGTGCAGCACCACATGATGTCCGCGGAGGAAGGTAGGGACGGCAGTAGGAAGGTAGGGATGGCAGGAGGAAGGTAGGGATGGCAGGAGGAAGGTAGGGATGGCAGTAGGAAGGTAGGGATGGCAGGAGGAAGGTAGGGATGGCAGTAGGAAGGTAGGGACGGCAGGAGGGTAGGGATGGAAATAGGGTAGGACGGAGTAGGAAGGAGATGGGCAGAGGAAGGTAGGGATGGCCAGGTATGAAGGTAGGGAATGGCAGGAAGTTAAGGTAGGGACGGGAGTAGGAAGGTAGGGATGGCAGGAGGAAGGTAGGGACGGCAGGAGGAAGGTAGGGACGGCAGGAGGAAGGTAGGGATGGCAGTAGGAAGGTAGGGACGGCAGTAGGAAGGTAGGGATGGCAGTAGGAAGGTAGGGATGGCAGTAGGAAGGTAGGGACGGCAGTAGGAAGGTAGGGATGGCAGTAGGAAGGTAGGGATGGCAGGAGGAAGGTAGGGACGGCAGGAGGAAGGTAGGGATGGCAGTAGGAAGGTAGGGATGGCAGGAGGAAGGTAGGGATGGCAGGTGGAAGGTAGGGACGGCAGTAGGAAGGTAGGGACGGCAGTAGGAAGGTAGGGATGGCAGGTGGAAGGTAGGGATGGCAGGAGGAAGGTAGGGATGGCAGTAGGAAGGTAGGGATGGCAGTAGGAAGGTAGGGATGGCAGGTGGAAGGTAGGGATGGCAGTAGGAAGGTAGGGACGGCAGTAGGAAGGTAGGGATGGCAGTAGGAAGGTAGGGACGGCAGTAGGAAGGTAGGGATGGCAGTAGGAAGGTAGGGACGCAGTAGGAAGGTAAGGGGGCTGGCTGGTGTGGCGCGTCCAGTCTGGGCGGGGGACGGCAGTAGGAAGGTAGGGATGGCAGTAGGAAGGTAGGGATGGCAGGAGGAAGGTAGGGATGGCAGGAGGAAGGTAGGGATGGCAGGAAAGGTAGGGACGGCAAGGATGGAAAGGTGGCGACGGCAGTAGGAAGTAAGGGATGAGCAGGAGGAAAGGTAGGGACATGCAGTAATGAAGGTAGGGATGCAGGTGGAGAGGTGAGGGATGGCAGTAGAAGGTAGGGACGGCAGTATGGAAGGTATGGACTGGGGTCAGGTGGAAGGTAGAGGCGTGGGGGTGATGGGTGCATCGTGGGGTGAGATGGGATGCGTGTGTGTGTGGTGGGGGGGGGGGGTAAGGCTTGCGTGCCGTGGGGTGCGTGGGGGTGAGTGGGGGTTGCCGTGTGCTGTGGAGTAGGTGCGTGTGTGGGGGGTAGGTTGCGTGCGTGGGAGTGAGTGGGGGTGCATGCGTGGGGGTAGTGGGGATGCGTGTGTGTGTGTTGGGGGGGGGGTAGGTGCGTGTGTTTGGGGGAGGTGACGTGCATGGGGGTGAGTGGGGGGGTGGCGTGTGTGGTGGGGGTGAGTGGGGTGCGTGCGTGGGGGGTAGGTGGCGTGCGTGGGTGGGTGTCCAACTTACCCTATGCATGAGAGCGCCATAATAACAGCATGAATTACGTGGACCGTAACATGATGTAACTGTTACATAGACTCTGTAACATGATGTAATGTTTGACATGTAATGCTGCGGGTGCCTTGCTTTCGGGGACATGAGTTGACGCACCCGTGGTCCTCACGGCGAAACATCGTAGAACTTGCCAAGCCACCGGCAAGGCGTAGGACGCAACCCCGGCGCCATCTGCATAGGACCGACGTAACCCAGGCGCCACCTGGCGTAGGACGCGAATGCCCGGCGGGCACCTGGGTTGGCTTGTGCCGCGCAGCAGAGTCATCTTGGATGTCAACCGTTGAGGTCACGTGGCGAAGGTCACGAGATGAGGGGTTTCTTGCGTCGTGGAGCGCTGAGAGGTCCACAGCCGGGAGTGTGCCATGTCTAGTGCCTGTGCCATGTGGCGTGGGCACGCGTGCGTGTGTCGTGCGTATGTGCGTGTATCTGTGTGCGCGTGTGCGTGTGATCATGTGTTGTGAGTGTGTACACATACACTCACGTGTGGAGCATTCGTGCATTATAACCATACTAA